TATACCTGTAGAATCTTGGCCCTTGCGCTATTTTTGCGCGATGGTTGCGAATTGGTGTTTTTGCGCATGTTAATGCAATTTCAAGGCAGAATGTGCAGTTCCGCTATTCGAGGATGAAGCCAACGGCCGAGCAACAATCACTTCGCGGATGCGAAATCCTCGCCGAAAGAATGCAATTAAATGTTTTCTCCAGTTCTCGGGCAGGCATAGGAAACTAAATACGCCGGGACGAGATCTAACTGTTGTAGCAGCTGAGCATCTATCAAAAGTGTCAGTCTACGCAATAGTACTTTGTTGGTTGATATAATTGTGGACAGATTTAGATACAACTGTTTCGGCCAATGCCTCTAATGTCGTTACTGGATGTTCTCTGCTGCAACTCAGGTTTAACTGCTTCGTGCGTATGAACTGATGTGGGTGCTGCTCATTCCAAACACGACCAAATACTTTATTTGCCATCAATAAATCACAATATCTTCTAAACAATGATTCAATACCTCATTGTAAATTTTCTTCAGTCATTTGTAGTGTAGATTCAAAGTTTCGAACGGCCACGATGCAAACACGATCCTCAAGACATGTCATCCTCTAACTTAACGCCACAAATCTTTGGATTCGAAGGGAAACAGGTCGATATGATAATCCGCAACAATGTACGAATTTGATTTGGCGATGAAGATATTACAGGAATCCTTGAGCGGTATCATCTCAGTGCGAATCGTTCTCAAGTAATGTAATAGTTACATGCCTCACGGTAAGTCGCAACACAGCTGGTTCATTAACGTGCTTCTCAGTTGTTTAAACGATTGTCGGACCAACGAACATTCACCACACAACAACGCGCAAATTAGTAACATTCATCGGTTATTTGAATGTAACTGTGTAGATTGCGACGCCACAGACAGTCTGAAGCAAATACAATTTGATGTCCTTCAGGCTTGTGTTCCTTGTTTCGACGCTGACAACGATTCATGATACGTTCCATGTGTAATAGCGTGGCATGTCAGCATACAGCAAAAGTGCGAAGAGCAAAATCATCAGTTTGACAGACTGTGCAAGAAACTTTGTTAATGGTTGTCAAGGGTTGGTGTTCCGCCCTGTCGGCCGCGTTAGATATTCATTAAAATAAACTCGTTGACCATTTTCTAAATATAGACTGCCAAATGGACTACTTGTAGGGTGGTCTTTCATGGGATCGCCAAATGAAAAGAATACGCGGCAAATATGCTTCGTTGCTACTACATAGCGACATCGTGGTACTGGTGATATTGTCAATCATTTGCATTTGGTTACAGCCGAAGACAGCCAATATCACACCTGTGTTTACATATTTTAAGCCATATGTGTACTTTATTCGACTTCACAGAGTTTACGATTATTCACATTGATGTGACGTCTCAAAAGCTTTGGGGACAATATTGCGCGATGGCACAATCCAACGATTGTCTACATCAACATTTTGTCCCTGCTTACTTCGACAACTACCGATCGCCCAATGTCCGCAACTGATCGCCGACGATACAATGGCGAATCAAATCATTTTCCCGTTATGGTTTCAGCAAACAGGTTCTCTTGGAACTCATGCCGTCGACCATACAGGTAAATTATAGTTGAAAAGTCCGCAAGGTTCATGTATCATGTGTTTGGTAACTACTGCATACAATTTTGGGTCAACTATTTCATCTGGAATTTCAGCTGAAATTATGGAATCAATCTCATCTGGCCTTATTTTGCCACTAACCAGACTTAAAATGTGCGCATGTGGCAATCCACGCTTTTGCCATTCTACAGAGTACATCCAACAACGTACTGGCCATATACACAATGCTTATATAAGAAAATTCATGAGAGATTTTAATTTTTGTTTAAAAACTCTGTGCTGTTATGTCATGTCTTACCAACTGGTGTTTGGCTATTTAGTAATTCCCTCTCGATTTCGGACCATTTTGGTTACATGTGAATGTAACAAATAAGTCTGGGCGGCGCCAAATGCTACCATATGACATAGCATCCTGAGCATATTCATGCATGTGGCGTGGGCTTCCTATGTAAGTGGCTGGCAAAATTGTTTCATTCTTCCTACATTATTCACATTGCCATCGGCATTTATTAGCATCGCGGAGAATGAATGTATTCCTCTGATCGTAGCCGTCGTTGCTCGAACGTATTTATGTCAATCGTTCAGTCTCAATTTTAACATACATGTCAACAGCAAACTGATGAAAAAGTCGTTGACACAACAAAATATGATTTACTTCACCTTGACGGGATCATGAGTGTGTATGAAAAGAAATCATAGCACTAACTTTTTTGTGTTGTTTCAGCACCTGCAAATCAAAAATGAGAAAAGTTTTTTTAAATTTTGTTACTTTAGATGAATTGAAATTTTAAAATATTATTTCATCTTGTTCAATTTATTTACCTGTTATTTGATTTACCATTTTGATATATTAAAATGTATCCATCTTCCCCCTGCCAAGATCAAAGGATATTGTCCTGTGATTTCAGATGCACGTTTTAAATCACTATTTTCCGACGATGAAGCACAATATCTCTAGATTGTAAATTTTCTCCCACAATGACAACAGCCACTCATCAATGGTAGGTGAATTAAACCTCCTTGTGTGTTCACCGGTATGTGTTTTGTCAGCTCGAATGATAATTTATGGCTATCAGATGGCATCCGATCCAATGCTATTTTGAAACATGTTTACTAAATTGTTATTCTGATGAAGGAACATTTGTAATTCTTGGACAAATGGTTCTCTTCACTGTTGGATTGTGAGCACAACGAATATCAATTTCCGCCATCTAAATTGCCCATATAATAAATTTGTAAAAATTGATGTTCTGCATCAGGATAGGGTGGTAAACAGTGTTCCCAGTAAGTGATAAATTTGTCCTTGTATCTGTAATTTTTCAAAATTTGTCCATTAATATTTCCGATATATATTTTTAGTACAAACTTGAATATTATAAAAAAATATTATGTATAATACCTTGAAAGTGTGCAGTAAATTGTCCTGTATATTGTGTAGCACCAAATGATTGTCATCTGGAAACAGCTGTTATATTTCTGAATGTTGGCCAAGAATGGCTTAGAATCATTCCAGTCCAGAAACTAAAGAGCGTAAAGGATCGTGTGGAGGGACCAATTGTGGCAATTTTACTTTGCCTCCAGCACAACATAATCCAGTAGAGTACCAGTATATTTTAACGCTTTAAAATATTTACAAGATTTTCATTCCCCAATTGTTACCGATTTGTCGGCACAATAATCAATTGAATTGAATTGAATTTGCCTTATTTTACGTGGCGAGACTCGGGCCATCAGGCCCGCTCTTCCGTCTGACCACGCAAATTTCGCTACGCTCCTTTCACCAACTAGGAGAGAAAAGGAGGTATTTATTGGCGAGAAACGGGGCGATTTGAATTTAGCCAGAGGCGTCATTTAGGCTTGAGGATCTTTTACATGCAAGTAAATCTACGAACATGGGACAGCCGGTCTTACTTCCCCTCCGAAGGAAGGCGGACGGAAGGATTTTTCGCCCTTAAAAAATCCAACGGTTCGATCGGGTTTACACCCGCCAAGTTGGGTACAAACAGTCCAGTACGCTAACCGTTACACCATCGCCGCCGCCACAATCACCGTTACATCAATCGCCGGATCATAGTGAAATGCAGCTCGTTCAAGAATCACAGGAGCACGCGCTGCGTCGCGATTCGCCTCAATTTCATTATGTCTAGCTGCTGTTGTTGTGTTGGATACGCACGAACTCGTTGCATTCTAAGCCTATCTAACTAACATTGTCACTCACTAAAAGAACGCAATTCTGACTTAGCAATACGACTATTTTCTTGATCTGTCCTCTATGGTCATCAGTTGCGGTTAGGATGTGAGGAGAGTGCTTCGCATATTTGATTGACTGCGACCACCTAAGTCAGGTCGTCTTCTCCTCGACATCGTAAATTAAGAAAAATTCTCGCTCATTTAGCAGTAAAGTGTCAGCTATACAAAATATCCACACACACACACACACACACACACACACAACATACACAATACACACACATTAGATCCCCAAACGCGCACCGGCAAATTTGAACTTTATGCATTTCAAAACGAACATTTCAAAACCAAGATAAGATAAATCCGTTCAGCCGTTTTCGAGTATCGATTGTGTAGTTCTCGATAATCTGACGGATTAACCTTTGAAATACGAATGGGAAAGAGGTTTCCCAGAGCATTTCCACCCAGCCGTACGAACGGAATACTTTTTGCTTGACCTCCAGAGGCGCGCGTCGGCTCTTATCTGTCGCCTGCTGACGGATGGCAAGCCGCGGTGGTCCGATTCTCACTCATCGGAGCTCCGGCCAACGCGATCAGGTAGGGATGTGTTGATGGAGTACGGTCTTGTGGCAGGAAGAGCGAGCGTGGGCTCCTCTGTTATTTCTTGCTTTTACAGAGCGCCGCAGCTCGTGAGAAAAGGGCTGTTTTGAGGGTTTTCCCGGCAATTATTCGAATTTTTCTCAACTTTTAAATCTTCCCTAGACCTCCACGAACATTTCAAAACCAAGATAAGATAAATCCGTTCAGCCGTTCTCGAGTTTTAGCGAGGCTAACGAACAGCAATTCATTTATATAAGAGATAGCGTGCGTGTGGGTGCGTTGTTCATGTTTCAAGCAGAAGTGAGTCGATTTCTTTATGTTATGTACGGTAAGGAAAAAGAGCTACCAATTTCAACAATTTAAGAAAAATTATTATACCGTGATAAGTTTAAAAAAATATTATTTTAAAACCAATAATATCACAATGAATAACAACCAATAAGAAGTATCAATCGAAAATTATTGATAATCTTTGCCTACTTACCCTTAGTCAAAGAAACTATAAAATATGTTGTAAGCTCGTTCACTTCGAAGGGATTGAATGCTTTCAAATCAAGGAATAAACGTGTGGGGATTTGAGGTTAAGGGAGAAGTGAACAGCAGTGAAGTTGCTTTCGACAAATTGTGGTTTTGTCGTAATTCATTTATTAAGGCATGGACAAGTGGGTTATAAATAATTATGTAAGCTTTTTCATTGTTCAGATCGTTTAACAGTGTTTTAATACAAGCCTATATAATACATAGATTCCCTTTTACCTGTAGCTTACGTTTACGTTGATATTTTTCAAACATGAAAATACTTTCATGCTTTTTTTAGGTGTGAAAATTACAATGTTTAAAATAGCCGTACGCCTGTCAACTTGCTGTTGTCTATATGCCATATGTATAAGTCTGATTGACTTTCTTTTCCATTAATATATTTTAAAAATACATTCCTAAGACGTACTTATTTTTTACTATTGACATTTGCGGTGCCAACAAGAAATTCTGAAGCCATTGTCCTTATAGGCGTAACAAATTTATATATAAATTAGTGATGACCTGTAAAATTAAGGATGAGCCAATGTATTTGCGTTGTACTAGAAGAGTATTATTAATGAAGGAAGGTTCACGCTTTCTGGCACTGTAATACTGTGCCATGTATTACAGGCCAGAGTCATCACATAATTGTATTACAGTAGTGCTAATGGTATTTGCAGTCACTGGCAATTATGCTGTTTTAAAACATTAAATTTTTGTTTCTCACTAATGAGTTGTTTGTATTAAACACCGTTAAGATAATGGTTGTAGTGCTTTAACCTTGATAATTTTTGAATGTTTAATGAAGAAATTATTTCTTAACAATTATTTTGAACTCGAGTGAGATTATAACTCAATGAAGATAAGAGTTTCATTTGGTATCTCCTTCTACTTACCATCCACTTATGGGATAGAGAGCGATTATTTTCGCTTGTTGTTAAGTGATTACATTGGAAGAATTAATTTTTGAATAGAAAGAGAACATATTCAATAAAGACATTTTAGATATGCCATGAAGTAATTTATTTATGTAATGGATTGTTTTGTTATTTTGTAGGGCTACATATTTAAGTAACTTTTTTCCTTTTCATTTGACGAAATGCTTCCAGAACTGAAAAATATTTTATTAGGACTAATCATTATGTATACTTGTTTTTATTGGTATTCGGAAGGCTGGTACGTTTTATGTTATTATATCATGTTTTAGATAGTGCAGATGCGGCATAGTGTGTCACAGGCACGTGTTCATGTATTAAACAAACTTGTTCGAGAAATCAGAAAGCTGCAGAACAAAAAAGGAACTGATGAACAGAAACAAAAAAATTCTCGAAAAGCAGAGAGGTTAAGACAAGAAGTCATTTTCATTAAGGTGATTCTTTCTTTAATGGTTACCTTTGCCTTTAATACCTTTAATAATTATTTTCCCCCTTTTTCCTGTTAATTCAATTGTGTGTCAATTTCAAGTATTCAATTGTCAAATGTTCCGTGTTAATTCAATTTTATATGCATACGAATGAAAGATTTTTAGTTTTATATTGATGCCAAGATAGCCTCTATATGTAAATATACCTTAATTTTCATTTAAATGTCAACCAATGTTATTGTTTTGTAGAAATTAGATCCTGACGAACTTAGCAAGTATGCACTGCTTTCTACTGAAGATCCATTGGAAATGTTGAGTAAGGTAATTGTATATAATTGAAGGAGTGTGTAATAGTACTCTTTGCAATTGTGTTTTTTGTTTTCACCTTACTATGCCCTCTAACATGTTTGCAGGTTTCACTATCAATAGAAGAACGTTCTAAAGTTCGATTAGCTGCTCATAAAAGTATTATTCACCAAGTGGAGATATTCAGGACAAAGTATCCAGAATGGGCATTAAAACTCCCTCCGTTATTGGTTCAACTTGGTCTTCATATCAAATACAAGAAAAAGGCTAAGAGCCAGGAAAGTAATAGTGTTACAGCCATCTCAAATATGACCAGGAACAATAGGAATCCAGAAGGAAACTGTGAAACAGAGAACATGATTGAGATGAAAGATATCAGTAGTGTTTCAGTTATCTTAACAGAAATGAGAGACAATGAGAAATCAAAACAAAGAAGTGAAACAGAAAACAAGATCGTGACTAAAGAGAGTGCCAATCTATGTGTAAAGAGAAGCAAAGAAAAAACAAAAGAAAAGAACGAGAAAGAGAGAAAAAGCCCAGATTCTACAGGTGACAATCTTGAAAGTGAATGTCAAGATGAAACTACTGAAAATGAAGATGAAAGTATGAATAGTGAAAGTGAAGATAAAATTATTGAAAGTGAAAATGTAGTTAAAAGCAAACACAATCCAAGAACATCCCGGAAAACTGTGAACAGTCTGAACACACCAGAGAAATTGCAATCAGCAAGGGATGAGATCAGAGTTTTAGGTGACAAGTTTGAAAGGAAGAAGAAGATTAATGGAATTGCAGAGGTGCGCAGGTTTGCCGATTTGTTGGAATCGGATGGAAATTCGCAAAACGAATCACCTACTGAGGAAGATGAAGTTCCTAATCCCACAAATTCTGTGAGTGATCCCTTCTTTTTAACTGAAGAAAACAGTGGTGAAAGTGGTGATGAACTGAATTCTAGTGAAGAAGAGGAGGATGAAGGAAAAAACTCATTTAGAAATAGGGACCAATTTTTCTTTAACACTGGAGATAAGAGGCCAGGAAGAAGATTCACAAGAGAAAAAAATCAGAGTCGGAATTTCGAGAAAAAAAATACTACTACTCAATGGTATTCTAGAGGTGACCAGAAAGTACCTACTATGAATAGAAAACAGAGACGATTGTTGGAGAAAGGTAGATCAGAGATGAAGAAAGGCTCTACCTTTTCTCAGGCTAGCAGTTACTTCCCTAAACGTTTTGAAGATCCTGGTAGAACAAAATCATTGCTGAATCCAGGTCGGACTAACAATGAAAGTTGTACAGAGAAACAAGGTATGTTACAAAATTTTATTTTTATGCAAAACTTCACCATAAACAAAAATTTCTGTGCATAAATAAAAGTATTGCTACATACTTCCCATTAAAATAATTAAGCAATTCATATCTTCGGAGATTATTAATTAGCGAACACCTAAAGAAATTTCTCCAATAAATATTTCTTCATTAAAATACTAAATATGTTTAGGATCACTTCAGCAGGAAATTTCTTCAGTTTTCATCAAAGATAACGTACATTAAAATAAATTAAAAAAATAATTCATTTAAGTAGTTATGTTTTGATGAAAACCATACTTTCAAAAATACTTCCAAATGTAACAATAAAATTTGAAACGAAAGATAGCATCATTTGAAAAATATCTGAAATTTTTAAATGCACAGTATTGGCAGAAATTAATTATAAATTTTCTTTCCATTGGAAATTCAATTTGATAACTGAATTGACTTCTCTTTATTACAGTAGAACCTTGGATTGTGAACAATGTCTCTCAGTTGTACAAGACAAGCAAACATTTTTTGTATGAATTTTAACTTTATAAATGAATGATACGAGTGGTACGATTTGCAATACGAGTAGAACTGCTAAGTCACTTGCAAATGAGACAGTTTTCCTCATTCTTATCTTGCTGGAGAATTGTGTATAAAACAATTTTCTCAAACATTTAGTTTTAGTTGTTTTGTCTTGCTCACATTGTCAATGTGCCTTCGACTGAGCAGAATGCATACCAGCATAGTTGCTGTGTCTGTGTTTGCATAAAGCATTTTTTATGTCCTTATTGCAAAAGTAGAGCTACTATTTATATTTACAATGTTTAATAGTCCTAAGGAATCTTGTATTAATCATTCTATGTGAGTACTTAGATTTGTGTTGAGAACGAATCATCAGCAATTCAATTATTTCTTATGGGAAAATTTACTTTGATATTCAAATGTTTTGAATTACAAGCATGTTTCTTCAATGGATTATGTTCACAATCCAGGGTTTTAGTGTACATAATAATTACATATTCAAAAGAAAATGTATTAACTGATCATAAAAATAATTGACAACATACTTATTTTGTCAGCCCTAGTGTTAAATGTAGCACACTAATGTATAATGTGAATATTTTTTCTTTTATTGCTGAATTTTCATAATATCCTTTTATTTCGATTTGCTTATTATTTTGTAATTATTAGGAAGAATTGAGCCTCCCAGATTTCTGCAACAATAGGTGCAGAAGATGATTTTTCAAAAAGAAAATCATTGTATTAAATAAATAAATAAATAAAAATAAAATTAAAAAATAAAACAACAAACAAACAAATCTCAAAACTTATTTAAAAAACGAAGAAGTACAAGTTAAATAAATTTGGTACTGCTTATGTGAGCACTTACAGTATTCTAGAACATGTTAAGTCCCAATAAATTCCACTTTTGGGGTATTGTGTTGGTGTTTTGGGATTATTATAATTGATTGTAGGGAGGTGTTGAGGAGAGAGAGGGGGAAGGAGGTGAAAGATACGCTAGGAAGATATGAGGTGGAGAGTCAAAGTTAATGTGGCTGCTTACCACGTTGCTTCCAGTGCTCCCTCAGGTGCAGTGGTGGTGTCAGACGTGATGGCGTCATTGTTGTTACCTTCTTCGGCTTGGTTCCTTGTTGGTAGTCTAGCCTGGGCCTCCGGTGTGGCTCTTACCTGAACTACTTACCTTACTAACAGCACGAGCTTTGTTACTTTATTGTTAACAGGCATAAATAAATAACATTTTAACGTTTATTAAATCACCACAGTCAGAATATTGTTGTATTATTTCATGCATGTTTTGCATTCGAGGTTGGATTTATCTGTTTGTTCATTTCAGAAGTATTGCATCCTTCTTGGGAAGCTAAGAGGAAACAAAGGGAGCAGATCCTTCCATTCCAAGGAAAGAAAATAAAATTTGAAGATGATGATTGATGGGTGTTTTAAACAAATGTATCGTGTTTAAATATATCATACATGAAAAATGTATGTACATTGTATATTATTTGTATTTATGTTTGTTCAATGTTAAAAATATATATGAAATCATTTCTTATTTACTTTATTTATGTTCTAAACAATCTTGGAGATGTTATGTTACTTTTCTCCAATTCTGAGATAAAGTACACCTTTTGCCCCAAAAACTAATTGTAAACAAATTTTATTTATGATGCATTTAAGAGTGTTTTTTTTAATGAAGAGGTAAGTGCAATAAATGAACCTTTTACATTAACTAGTGGTGCTACTGAAGGGCACAGAGTTTCTCACTCAAGTTAGTTTTCTTGTCTTCAGAATGCTATCTTTTCAGTTGTGTTCCACCTTCTCAACTGGTATCTATTGGTGCCTAAAACACGTTTTTTCACATTTCTCAATTTTTCGGTTCCATAATGGTAGGATTAAAATGTGAATTTAAGAATATTACAGACAGGTAAAATCTCATTCTATACACACATTTTTTATTCGAAAATTGGTGTTATTTTTAAGAAAATGTTTGAGCATTTCTGAAAATAGAAGTTAATTTCATTCTTCTTTGAAGTTCATTTTAACTCAAAATTTTGAATTTCTAAAAATTTAATCAGAAATTTTTTGAAACAATTATACTCTCAAATGCGATAATGTATAAGTAATGCATATAATGTGAATATTAGGAAGAAAAGAAGAAAAAATTGTTTAAATTTTGAAAACAAAGGAAAACTTCAAAGTGGTACTTATCTTATGTTATTCACTTTACTTACCATCATTCTTACCAACAAATTTTAAAGAAAAATGTCATTTTTGAGGAAATTGCTATTGAGTGTTTCTGAAAATGCAGAATTTTAATCTCTTTTTTACAGAAAACTTTTGAATTTTAGAGAAACTGTGTGAGATATCATTTGAAGCACTTTTACAAAAAAATGCAATAATGTATACAAATCGCTGGTAATGTAAATATTAGAGATGTGAGCGAGAGAAAACAGAATTATGTTTGTGCAATTTTTGATATGAAAATGCCAGCTTTAAGCTGCACCCTTCCCTCCGCCTAGTATCCCATCCGTATCTATGGTCTTGGGAGGGAGCGACTCCTGCTCCCTCACCATTCACCCTCTTACTAGTTCACCATGCCAGGACCCTACCTATCTATAACCTGCTGAGGTAGCTGTGGCCCTTCCCAGCTACTTCTTTGGATATTGTGAAAGTCTGTAATTGAATGATGGTTAATGATAGGATTAGGGTAGGGAATGATTGGTGGAATGCAACTTGGCAACGGGAGTACCCCAGAAAACATGCCAAGAACCTGCTTTGTCAACCACAATTCAACTTGAAACCGCCTGGGATCCATTGGTGGAAGGCGTGCAGTCTAGCCACTACGCCACAGGTCACCCCCAACCTGCTTTCCATATAACTTTTTCTCCCATCACCACATCTGGGGGATGGAGAAACAGCAATGATTGTTTCCCTCACCATGAATCTGAATTGCACATGCTGAAGAGTACATTTCTTGCCCAGGCAGAACTACCTAATATACACACACAGACATCCCAATAATTTTCAAGACGGCTTCTACTGGCAGAATTTGAGAATTCATTGTTTGTATTGTATGGAAAACATTCTAATATATGATTATAACATACAATTTTGTGAATTTTGAATCCTTTTTAGATTTTACTGCTGATATTAGTATGATTTTTGTGCTTTAATTTATTGAATCCTAAATTTTAAAATGTTGAGCATTTCATTTAAGTCTCACTAATTTTACATTTAGTGAGGATTCTGTATAATATTTGTTTTTTTATTAATGTAGGTACTTACTTTTAATTATAAAGTATAAACTTTTGCGGTCTGATTTTCACTTTTTTTCTGCAGTAATTTAAAAATTTATAAATCAATTTTTTTTATGTAAGGTAGATATTAAAAGAAAGTCCCAAATGTAGGTCTTACATGAATCCATTTGTGAAATACTGTAGAAAGGAAGACACCCATTTGTCCAATACTGTTTTTATGCACGTTTCATAACATGAAAAGTATAATTGAAGCATATCTTACTAATGAAAAACTTATTCGAAGTCATTATCCATTTCCTGTAATTTTGTCAGGATATAGTATTTAAGCTCATGATTCAAGGGCACAGCACTACAGTCAAAATGAAGTCTTATTTCATACTCAGCTTTGCAGTGTGTATGACTTCTGGATATCATTTTCTACCTGAACATGAAAATTTTATTGGTATGTTGTTGAACATATTCTCAAACATGCTACATTACTGCACATCTTTTCACTTGTTATTTGCTGCCATATTAATGAGCCCTTTCATTATGTTACTATTCCACATTTGTTAGTCCATATGGTTTTAGTTGTCAAATTATTTGTTTATTAATTCCTTTTTTCTGAAGGGGGTAAAACAAAGGGTTTGTGTGCACAATGCAGTATCTTGCAAAATTATTAGTAGAAGTAACATGTTCATTCATCACGTGTTAAAGAAATTAATAATCAAAATTTGTTGTACAGCAGTATCCGTATCGTGTTCTTTCCAAATATAATGTAATAATTTTTTTTCTCTCTAATTTCATAATCTTCACTCAAGATGAGTTTTTTGTCAAGTGTGTGAATCATGATGTTAACAGAGTTTACTTAAAAGATCATGAACCAAAGTTTTTTTCTTACAGATGAATTGTTCTATCCAACACTGTATGAAGAATCATTAGATGAAAGCAAAAGTCGATTTACTCGGGCCATTGAAACTTCTGACATTGAAAACGAATTGCAGAGTTGTTGTTCAAAGCTCAAAAATTTACAAGTATTGTTTTGTTTTGTTTTTTTACTTATAAGTTTCATCCTTCAAAAATAGTTTTTAAGACAGTTTTGTTTCTTTTTCCCACACAACTCCACATAAATTAAGCTTCTTATTTATGAATGTGTTTGTGAATTTTGGAGTTAAAAATATTTTATTATACATTACTTTCATATCCTTATCAACAAGACAAGTCTAGGCTATATTTGAAAGCATGTAAACATCTAACAAATTTGTTAAAACTAGTTATGATCTGCCACCTATTATGGGAGATGCAAACTATCTTCTATTGGGAGGGGGTTAACTTGTTTGAAATAAGGGTTCCTCAGGGACTTACTGCCCCATGCCTCATGTTTTCTCTTGATGACCTGAAAATAAGAGGGAAATGTAATTGAGCCGCAAAGACTACAGAAGAATTAACATTTAATAACTCTTCCAACCATTTTGAACCAACAATGTGGAAAGAAAATATTTAGCAAAAGGAGGGGGGGGGGGGAACTAATAAATTTTGAGTTGGAAAAACTGAGATTCCCAAAACTGGCATTTTGCAAAACTGCATTAACAATTTTTTCAAAAATTTGCATTCAGAGAGTCAGATTGTGATTTAAACCTTAAGTTACACAATTAAGAAAATAAAAGAATGAAATCTCGTTTCGCTGCTTGACATTATCGCAATATTTTCATATAAATTAATGAAATGCATTGTGTCTGTGGAACATTATATTCATTACTGTGTTCTTATTTGTTTCTGAAATTTTATATTAAAATTTTACTGACAGTAATACATAATGCTATAAAAAAAATACATAATGTAAACTCTGCAAACTGATTGTATATATTAGTAAACTTGACTTTTATGTTAAGAGCGATGACAAATTTTAGCAAAACATTGATACTTTGATACATCACCAAAATATTTTCAATGTTGATGAAAACATTGATGTTTAAAATAACAGTGTTTTAATTATGATGAAACATTTTGAAGTATAACGTCATGGTTATAATGTGATACGTAACGCATCAATATTAATGTTAAGTAGATTCTGCCTTAAACTTCACTATCATCTTAATTTTCTCATCAATGTTGCATGTTGTCTAGGTTCAAATTGCAGTTTAATAAACAAAATAATCAAAAAAGGAACAACACTGGAGAAAAGTAGTGAATAGCAGACTGTTTTGTGCTGCCTCGTGATCGTCAAGAGTGATAGTTGTCAATGGCTGTTGATTGCGAGCAATCCTCAAATAAAGTAGATTCTGAAAATTATTTATATCATGAGTTTTTTTGACATTTATGTTTCTGGACAAATATATTGATCTGAAGGAAACATGGAAAGCAAAACATCGATGTTATAATATTGATATTTTTGCTTCAATATATCGATATATAAAAGCATTCTAACATATCTTTTCTAATTAAAGTAGGCTTCTTAATTGGAATTTGTTTTGATTTCATTTTCATTTGATTTATTTTGATCAAAAAACAATTAAAAAAAGGAATGGGAGTGAAGTATAATCTGCATGCAATTTCTTGAGTTTAAGAATCTCCTCTCTACCCTTGTAGTATAAATGGTTGAATGATGAATACAAGTTTCAACAAAGCAAATTAGCAATATCTGAAAACTAGACATTTTAGCTTCCGAGTTATAGAAAAATTGTTGCATCAGTAAGCAAACTACAGAATTGATTTTTTAGTATTGCTTACAAAATAGCTACCCACATTTCTCTTCTCCTACCACAACTAGCAAAAAGAGAGCTCAAACAAAATGTGCCCCTAGTGAAGCTATATTTATGTCTAGAAGCAAAATCATGGGCTATCTCTGCATTTGCTGAATGGATCAGGGAAACTGGATGAAAAACCTGAACAAAAAGGCATTTGACTCATTAGATTAGGACTTGTTATACAGCATGTGTAAAATAGAAACAATTAAATGGGAATCAAATTGAAAGAAACCATACTCTTATAATTACTATTTGGTAATGAATGTAAAATGAAGTCAATCAAGAAGTTGCAAACTAACAAAAGTTCTTACGACTTGTTAGTGATCATGTAAATATTCTGATTTTCAATTTTCATAATTTTAACAGTAGAATTATCATCCATTTGCTTGGGATAAAAGGAGATGCCTTTCATTTTAGTGATGAATTATCATTAGACTTTTAAATGTGTATAAATTGTATTGAGAAAATTATTTTAATTAAAGGCCTTAATTTTTGTTTCTCTTAGGAGTCATGCTGTGGCCAATTTGGTGTTTTCCAACCAGATCACGTAGGACAGAAGGTAGCACTTGAATGTTTGGCTGAAGCACAAAATAATGATTTGAAAACTATTTGTAAGTTATTTTACTTCTTACCTATTCGCTTATGCCTGGGGTCTGATATTAGAAAAAAATAAATTCTCATAGAATATTATTTCAGTAGCTAATACAAAGACAAATTGTGGAATAGGAAATTAAATATGTTTTCATCTAATGTGTCATTACAGAATTTGCAAAATGTCGTAGGTTGCACTCAACTCATGCCACAATTTGTTTTTATTTGTTTTAATTGTTATCCGAAAATAATTTTGTTTCAAAGTTAAGGACAAGTTAAAACTAATAGTTACTGAAAACTTTTTGGGGGGGGGATTCCCTTTCAGTGAATCCACACTTGATGATGTTGAGTTTATTGGTTTTAAAATTGTGTATTTATTGCAGGTGAGAATCAAGATCTTTTCCGTACAAATCGTTTAAATCTCTTAAGCCACGCTGAAGTGGTTTTGGTAATATTTTTAATATATCATATGAACTTGATTCTGGAATGCACCCATCAATTTTTCACACCTTTACATTTCCACTTATTCCACTTATTCATTTACTATCTCAGAGCTGGATTTAGGTACTGCTTACCCTCAAGCACAAAATCATGTTGGGACCCTCATTTGGAAAAAAATTCCTCCAGATTTAAAGAAAAAACAAAGACTAATTATAATCGAATCACTTATTATTCAAATACAAATGAAAAATTATTAATTATTTTATGTATTCAAACATGTTTTTCAATTATTTTACAGATTTGCATATTTTTTGACGTTTTTTTCCAAATATTTTATGACTTTTTCTGAGGTCTGGGCCTCTCCATTGTAGGTAACTTGTTATTTTGCTTGTACAGAAATGCAGTCATGCACTCACACACTTATTTATCTTCTATTTTTGCATTATTGAAAGTAGAATGTTATGCAGTGTGCATGTGCCCATGTGTCATGTGGGTGGGTGCCTGCACACTTTTGCATGTGTGTTTATTGACCTATATGCAGTATGTTAGTTGGGATTGTATTGATTTTGTTCTCTCCTCTTTTCCAACAGTGCGTAAAGGAATGCATTGCCCGAAAAAATAATTGGGTTAGTACATTTAAAAAAATAAATTATTATTATTATTATTATTATTATTATTATTATTATTATTATTATTATTATTATTGTATTTTCATAATCATCATCACCAACATCATCATATTCACAACCAAAAATGTGTTGATCAAGTATCAAATATAACACTACAAATTGCATCCAGCTTTCTAACTCTCTCTACAATAAAAGGTGTTTTCAAGAAAGTGATGTATCGCATTCCCAATATTTTGCTCAATATGTGAGTTTGAAAAAGTTCTTACAAAAATTTTGCTGACCTATGTCATTTCTAGGCATTTTTTACTCTATCTGTTTTACATATTTTTTATAAATTGCATTAACATGAACCAGAAATTATGTGAAAACGACTTGTTGTTTGTTTTTCTTCAAAAAATGTGCATCATGTTAATTTAAGATACATCTTAGAACACATTTCATTAAAGGAAAAAAATAATTTTGTATTTTTGCAATGTTAATTTTTTGCTACATTAGAAAATAGTTTGGCGCAGCACTTTTTGCCGTTAGCAGTACCAGCAGCAGTTTTCAACGTCCTTTGCTACATTTCAGGGAAAAAATTAAAGAAAAAATTGGAGCCAGTTTTGAAAAAATAATTGTTTAAAAATTGCCTATATGTCCCGCAAAATTAAGCAAATACTACTCATATTTTTGAAGAAATATAAACAACCTTAACCCCACTTTTTTAAGATGTCTTTGAACATCTGATTTCAAAGTTTAATAAAAAATTTTGAGCTATTTTTGAGAAAATTTCAAAAATGTTGAGGTTTCGTGTAAAAATCCAAATATACCAGTGGCGGCTGGTGTCTTTAATTAACGGAGGGGCTCCATTGAAAAATAGAAAATGCGAGCGAGCTATTCTATTGCGCTTATCAACACGGAAACACTTGTTGCAAGTGAACGCACAAGTGAGTCTTTGAAGTCCCGAGCCACCTCGGGGTCGCGCACCCGACCTCTCGCCTCCGCCGTTCGCGAGAGACGTCCTGCTACGGTTTTCATTTTTTGTAAACTTCGAAGAGGTAAGCTTCTAAATTCCACAGTTTGTAAATATTGAACAGAATTACTATTCTTATCCGTTCTAAACACGAATTAGTAGTGCTCAAACAGTACGTACTTTTTCGTTCGTACATTCACGCAAAATTACGTGATAAGTTCTCAAATCTTCGTAAAATTGTATATGATCTTATTTCAAAATATATCTTTAAGGAGATTCAGTAAGGAAAAACTCTGTCATCAATGTTTTAGTTCTAGGAAAATTCCGAAAAAATTTTGAACTTTCGCAATTTTCGAAAAAATTAGTGTCTTCAACGAAAATGAGACCAGCACCATTATATAAAACGTCATTTACACTTTCCAATAATAATGTAATCAAAAATGATCAAGCCATAAAAAAAACGAGAATGTTTCCAGAGGATGCATGTGAAATCTCCCCTAAAATTAAAATGTCGGTTTCAAATGAAAGATGTCACGGCATTAGCCAGATCGATTGAGGAAAATTAATTTTGGAGAAAATCGGCTTAGCCGTCAGCGTTGTTCACAGACGGACAAATAAGTTTTGCCGTCATTTGTTTTCTCGGTATCAAAGACCCACAAAACACGAATTCCGGCTAAACCATGTGTTAGAGAATTTTTTAATTCTGAATTTAGTAACTGGATTTATCCACTTTTTCGTTAGCAGGACCCTGTAATAAGAGGTTTTCTGCAAAAAAGGCGCCGTTATTTCGTCCAGCGTTACATAACTTTCCCTCTACTCCGTAACGAGGAAGTAAAAATAAAACACCAACAGAAAAATACAAAATTAACCACCTAAACTTTATCATATGTCCGCCAGAGCTTAAAAAATCATGTAAACTACGCGCAAAACTGAGCAAGAGACTTCGTTTCCTGCAGCCCCTGGAGTCCCAGTATTGAGAAACATAAATAGCGGGAGAAGCGAAATGATCTATGCCCAATGGGCATACTTCATGCATGCAGCAATAACTGACAGTCCCAGGGAGAGAATCGCAGCAGAACACGGCGGTAGCTTTTCGCAAGTTACACACGCACCAGCAGTAGGCTGGTCATGTAATTGGAAGAAATACTATTTCGCATACTTTATTTAATATCAAAGAGAAATTAAATAATTGTAACAAGGACTGGGGAGCTGCAGCCCCGCAGCCTATCCCCACCAGCCGCCACTCAAATATACCTTTCAGCTTTGCAGGACCTCGATTTCTTTCAAACTGTCAAAGGAATATCAATTTTGGAGAAAATCGTCTGAATGGTTTAGGTGCCACAGAAGAGTTGACCCCAGACTTTCAGCCGGGGAGACAGACATTTTTTCATGAATCGATTTTTCAGTATCAAGGACGCACAAAACATGGATTCTGACAATGCAACGTGCTAGAGGAAGTAATTTACTACATACATAACCAAATGTATCCACTTTTTCGTTACCAGGGCCCGACAATAAGTTTTTCTGCCAATTACCGACGCACTCTTACAATACGTTTTCTTTACTATTTACGTAGTAAGGTGTGAAAGTACAAAAATACAGTATACTAAATTTCAATTCTTATATAGTGACTATTTGAAGTGCATTAATTGGGATCGTTTTATAAACGTGAAATGCTATGTTCGTCTCCTCATTGGGGCTGCAGAACGAATTCTGCAATGCAAACCTTTTAAATTTACTAAAGAGAATTCGCGAATGCGTAAGTGGTTCAGAAATACACTGGTGTTTGAGATAATTGCAACACCAAGGTGAAGACTATTACAATGAAATTTATTCCATAGATTAGGAATATCACAATATACAAATGATCAGAGTTACAGAACACTCGTATTTTGACGTGGGGCATTAGGACGATGTGAAACCGCCACATACTCTTATCAGAGCGTCTAGACATGGACTAAGAGATCCTGGATATGCTTCTGGGGAACACAGACATGCGAATTCTGTGTGACCACAAAGCATCGACAATGGATGCAGGAGAACCAGAGCGATCTAGTTGCCAAATGATCATAACCCAGACATGTTGGATGGGCCACATGACATGCGAACGTGCAGGTCAGGGAAGCAGTGGTACCCATAGATCTTCGCAGAAAGTTTGCGAGCGCATTCCTCGCCACGTGCGGTTGGGCAATGGCCTACTGAAATATGTTTCTTAAACCCATACCTATTAAAAATCCGCCTTCCCGATAAATGCACAAAGCAGATAATAAGCAGGATTCTCCGTGACACCCAGATACGTAGGAAAATCCTCCTCTTGCGGTCCAACTGAAACCTACTCACTCCGACTAGGCCAGCCGTAGTTGATCAATTCAGACGTTCTTTCACCGCATTTCTAGGTTCAGATCTAGAAGGTGGACCCTCCTGATAGACCTTTCCCAGAGTTACCATTTAGAAGCCCTATCAGGACATCCTTTAGTCATCAATTCTTCTATCCACTCCGTCGAAAGAACTGATTACCGCAACCTTGGAGTGGGTTTCGAACTTAACAGGGATATTCCCGTGAAGGGTAAGAGCGGAGTTGAGTGCTGTTTTTGTCTAACACATAGCATTATTGACGAATATGCTATTACTGAACACTCAACAAATTAACGTGTATAATTGTTCCAGGATCAGCTTTTCAGCTGTATCCCTCAGTACAACAAGGTTGTTACGCTTTGAAGTGTGAATTATGAGATGATAAGATAATGACGAAAGGTGAAAGGACAATCACAAATGCGACCACTTCTACTCAGGACTCGATCCTGCAGCCTCCTCGGAGGAGACGACGGCCGCCACAACCGTCTGCCCCATTGGGCCGAATTATTATTATTATAATAATTATTATTATTAGTATTATTATCATTTCTATTAGTATTATTCCTCTACTTCACGAGTAAAGATGTTATGATTCGGTTGATTACGTCTACTGTGGGTTGTAACCATCTTTCTAATCCAACAGATCTAGGGACTGTCGGTGCCTCTCCAATACTTTGTGCAAAATGTGGGCTGTTAGCAATGTCTTGCACTTCCCAGTCTTTTGAATGACCTGGGAGTTTAGTCAAGCTCTTACTCAAATTCTGCAGAACAAATCCTATCGCTCCAATAACTATCGGACGACATGTACTTTTACGTCCCAAATTCGGATGATCTAGATTTCCATACTCTTTTATTTAAGTTTATTAATAATATTATATCACCATTCATCTTTAGTTAATCTCAATTAAATTGATTCTAATTTGCAGATAGATTCTGATGGTAATCTTGTGGAACCTGATATTGAAGAACATATTAAGCAAACAGTAATATCCAAAGATACACTTTGGAGCGTAGGAATTGTAGACAAATCTATAAAGAAGTGTTTGAAAGAAGCTAAAGCAACCGGTAAGAATTTCAAGCTCAGCTTCCACTTAAACAACTTATTTTATGATGTTTTTTAAACTCAGAATAATGTCATTAAAATGTCTTATTTGACTTGTAACTGATTCCATGTACCATGTTCATTGTTTCAAGCATCGGGAAGAGTTACTCAGTTCCATTCCTTTTTTTAATATAATTGTTTATTATTCGTAAACGTGAACAGATAAAATCTGTTCTTCAGAATTATATCTTGAATTAATGTCAAGTAAAATGTTTTGAAAATATGAGTTGCATCTTCTCAATGTTGTTTTGAAAGCGTTCGTGTGGTTTTAAACTTATACAATTTGGTATAGGGGATATGTTCGTAGCTTGACTAAACCGAATGTCCTGGACAAACATTTTGCGGGTTGTAAACACCTTTGCGGGTTCAAGCAGTATTTTGTAAATGTTATAAATAGTGCGAAAAAGTGCGTGATGTTCCACCAGTTAAATAATTTTTTGTTGACATTAAAATAAAATGTGGACACCCAACGCCATTTGTGCGGTCGCGAACGTGTTTGCGCCAGGCTCCACTACCAACTGGAGTTCCTTTGCACGTGCTTCTCAAGAGTACATCAGTTGTGACTGTTTCGCACTTTAATGACATTTTCAGCAGGTAATGGTCCGGATCGCGTGTGAATGATTGAAAGGCTCTGTTTTTCCTCATGAATGTTTTACATGAAAATTTGTAAGTACGTACAGATTGGAATTTAGTGTTTTTTCCAAAATAGCTCCAAGTAGTGACTATAAAATGTAAGAGGGTGAACTCGAAGGACTTGAAGATTGGGCTCAGAGGAAATGGAATTTGTCTATGTTGTCTTGGACGTGTGCACAGAGTGGCCTATTCATTTCCGCGGGCGCGTTAGAAAAGCCTGCTGACGCTCGAGTTTTAAAACATGCACTCACGCAAGTGAAATTTGTACGAAATTACGATTAGAACCTATTATTTTAGTACACGACGACTAAACATGTTATTTGTTGATCGATTCCTTTTTTCGTGTTCACGCAAAGTTACACATGTTTTTTTTGCCTGACTTTAAACCACTAATTGAAAAAGCATGAGATCGATGTTTTGTCCAAAAGGACTTTAAACGTTAGAATTTTATCTACGCTAGAGAAAGGATAAGACAATTTTAAAGTTTTGTGGGACACGATTCCATCAAAAATTATAGTGTAAATTTGTTGATTGAAAAATAGAGCACGATTGACTTGCGTAATCAAAGTATGGTGGAATCGGCTACGTTTGCAGCAGGCGATGGTTCAAGAGTAAAATAAGCCAAATGAAAGTGACAATGGTGAAAATCGAAGAAAAGTTTTGAATGCTTAAAACAGAAATCTCCCTCTCATAAAAGTAAGTAGTTACGTCAATAGGCAGCTGAGACTGCGGTGCCAAAGACAGATGGTACAATCGGCCATCAGTATGAAAACAAATCTATCTGCATTTCTGTCATGAGAATTTTGTGCCGCAGTCAATAACTGTGTTGAAGCCGACAAATGATACTGCAACAGTTGAGCCACCAATCATATCACCGCGAACACAAACTGCAATCCACAAAAATGTGTATTGTATACAAAGTTCGTTGATCCTGAAAATATTTAACTAGGAAAACTAATGGTAAGTTTGTTAGCTCATGGAGAGGAATCTGTTGAGTTTTAAGTACACTTGAACGACGTGTAGAAAAATGCTAGCTGCAGAACATCCTTTATTGAAGCACACTTTTTTCTCCGTTAAAGCAGTAGCACGGAAATATTTTTTGTACAAAGCTTGACAATAAAAGTATTAAACTCAAAGTCGAAATCACTACAAAAGGAATACTGGAAGCCGTGATCTGTATGTACTCAATAATCGCATTGTAAAACCAATACAACCTGTTCAAGTGAATTTGGTGTCATCGGTTCGGACACACGACAAGTTTATCACGACAGATTCGGCCATCAACAAAACCAACGTTTTGAAGCGTGGACTCAAGCGTGAACGTGGTTAGAAGCGATGGAGAATTATGTAATGGATGTGCGCTGGGAAAAATTCATCAGTGCCATTGAAGCACAGAGTGAATCGACTATCTGTTATTGTTGAGCAGAACCATGCCGATGTGAATGGACCCATATCTAGTCTTACGGACTCTCAGAAAAGCACGGTACTTCTTATGGTTTAAAGACGATTGTAGCAAGTTTCGTTAAGTTTTTTAAGCAGAAAAGTGAAGCCTGCGCGGATTTAGAACAGTTTTTGAATGAAGGTAAGACAAATATCCATGTTTTCAACAATTCTATGCTGTTGTTCTGTTGTGAAAACTTCTATGTTGAATTCAAGAAAGCTGCCAAAAGAACTGTAGTCAGAAGCATGTAATACTACCGCATATCTTTTGAATCGCTCTTAAAAGTCCTCCGTTTAAAACAAATATCCTCATGAACTGGGGTGTGAACAATCAGTAGGAAGCTTAAATCATCTGAGAATCTTTGGTACTCAATGTTCTGTGCATGTGAATAAGAATGACCACCGTCGTGTGAAGGCAGCGCTGTTCATGAACATCGGATTGGATATGTGAACGACAGAGACGGATTTAGTGATTCGATTACTTCTCAGAATACACTTGTACTAAGTCACGAGGTAAAATTCAAACCTCAAGTTGGTGTATGGAAATGAAGAGCGACGAAAACGCCGTCGGTAAAAGGAAAGCAGAATAGATGGCTAGTGGTTATGTGTATATGGCTGGACCAACCAATCATCAGTGATAAGGTTCCAAGTTCATATACTGAAGCATTGCAAAGTAGCCGTAAAAATATGAGACTGAAAGCTATTTATGAAGAGTTGCAGACCCTGAAAAAGAATAGTACTTGGGTATTCATTGAACATCCAAACAGAACATTCGTTGCAGAATCTTCGGGTCTCAGATGACTTAAGAATTTGCAGATAACGTCAGAAAGTTTCAGATGACTTAAACGTTTGGTTGAGGGTCTACGAATACCCAAGGGACGAGGACAAAAACAAGTAATTAACAATGGATAAACATTTAGTTATGTTCCACTGGTCACTATTCAGTTTTCAAAATTAATCTTGACCAGTTTGGCATGAAAACATTCTTGAATGTTGTGCCCTAAGAAATGATGGTGTGCTCTATGAAAAAATGGAAGAAAACAACAGAAGCATGGAAGGTTTTGAAGATGGTACCGGACGAGTGTTTGTACTAATGTAGGCCTGAAACAGCACTTCGTGCCTGGAACAAAAGTTTTGTAGACTCAATGAAAAAAACTGGATTTTAAAATAGTATACAGGCCCGTGCCGTCTTCTACAGCATATGGAACAAATGCCTTATGTTGGATTATTCGGTGATTTGGTTGTGGAAAGCATTACAGCAGAAATTGAAGAATTCTTGGAAATGTTACAACTGGAATTTTACACTGCGAGAGGGTCTCTCAACAATTTTTGGGTGTGAAGATACTGCAAAATGAAGATGGGTGAATAGCAGTGAATCAAATAATCTCGCTTAGGGCTTTTTGCAGGCGACAGCCGGTTACCCTTTGCGGCCCGATGGGACGCCTATTTGACTTTACACAAGACACTAACACACTTTGTGAGCTCCTCTCATCTGGGGCCAGCAGAACGCGAGGCCCTCCGCGACAACACATGCATGAGAGACAAGGGACAAGCAATCATGGCCAAAGGGGACACAAACCCGCGACCCTTCAGACCAAGGCGCTGAGCCGGCACACGCGCTAGCCCCCTCGGCCGTCCAGGTCGACTCAAAAGCACTTCGTAAGGGAAATTGTGGAAATATTTGGAATAGCCGAGTCGAATGGAATTTCTACTCCAGTTGGAAGCAAAGAGAATAACGTTAAGGACAAAACTACAACAAAGATTCCTTATTGTAAAGTAATAGATTTTGTACTGTACTCGTTGCTGATGCAGTTAACAAAGCACCTGGAACCACCGAAGATCCTTCAGTACACGATTAGAGCCAATCGTTTATTCAAATGTTTGAAGATACAATAGATGACGGTATCATACCGGAAAATGAAGCCTTTATGTTCTACAATGACACCAACTACGCCGGAGAAAGGGACACGACATGTCTCAACGACAAGTTTCGTCACAACACTCACCCATGGAGCTGTGTCGTAGGCCAGTGAATTGCAAATGCCAGTGGCAAACTCTTGTACGGAAGAAGAAATAACCAACGAGGCTGCTAAATGAATTAACTAGAAGTGCCAGTCAAGGCAAACAACCTTCGCTCTACATTGACAATGGTAGTTCAAGAATCCAGTGCATCATAAAAAACAAAGCATAAAGTGGTCCGCCACTTCTTCGCTAGGGAAATATTTTTAAACAGAGATCTTGGATTGCAGCACATAGGCGAGACATGCCAGTCAGCTGATCTACTCGCGAAGCCGTTAGAAGGGCCCTGTTCGAGATGCTGCGGGCGGGGTTCGTGAGGAAAATTACATCTCCGCTGTAGTCATTAAGTAATTTTTGTATTTTGAATTGATTTGATTTCGCTACGCTCCTTTCACCAGCTAGCAGAGAAAGAAGGTATTCCTTGGGCGTCGAAACATGCGATTTGCCTTTAGCTCAGAGGCTTCATTTAGACTTGAGGATCTTTTACATGCAAGTAAATCCACGAACATGGGCCTTCCGGCTTCACTTCCCCTCCGAAGGAAGGTGTTCAAGGGATTTTTTCGTCCTAAAAATCCACTTCAATCGGGTTTGAACCCGCCAACTGTTACACCATCGGCGCCGCCTCCAAATGTTTTGGAGAGAGTGTTAATATGATCATGTAACGTCATTTCTGCGGTCGTGAATGTGGTTCTGTTTTACCAGTCGAGGTAATGCGAGTTCGGATTTCTTTGTACGTGCGCCCCAAGAGTATGCCTGCCTTGTCAACTAATTTTTGTACTTTGATTAAAGATATTTTCAACAGTTTTTAAGTGAAAATAGCTTTGCACTGGAACTCAACTTCCAGAGTTTTGGCACCCCGTAATTCAGGGTGAGGGAACCTTGTCAAAGTGTAATAGAAAGCACAAATAGGTATCATATAGTAAATTATGGCATAGTGGCATAAGCAGAACTTGTGATCAAAAAAATCTGTTTTTTAGGTTCTAGGACGTGTTGTTTCCGAATTATGGACAATGATGAACTGTATTGCAGCATATGAGTTGGGTATTGATTTCACAGATTCCGTAATCTGCGAACTCGTGTCTTTCAACTGTGGAGTCGAAAATTAGCACTTTTTCACAATGAACGTGTGGTGGTAAATTTCATACAACGAAGTTAGACATACCGAGTCTTTGTTTCAACACTGCCGGCTTATGGTAACACCTCTTGTTTTCACAATTTGGCAACGCGAGGAATTAACTTTGGTATACCTCTCACTTTATCCACAGCCCCTGATAGGTAGGCAACCAAAGATGCTTTAGTGCTTGGCGGGCCATTAAATTGGGGTCGGTCAAAGCAATTTCTTTAGTCCCCCAAACAAACACTAATGTTGAATTGCCTACCAATTAGGGGAAAATGTCACATGCGTGATACCGTTACATGAAATTTCTGTTTATTACCAAAACGTTATCATCTTACGCCCCCTTACGTGCTCTACAAGTTTGCATTATTTATTCTGAGGGAATAGCTCAGATATTGATTTCTTTTATATTATTTTGAATTAATTATTGCAGAGTGCATGACTAAGATATGTTAAATTTCTCTGTCAATTTCCAGGCTTAATTTTCAAGAGTTTAGAGGATTTGTTTTCTGTCTGAGATGTCTGATAAAACAATAGAGAATGTTCTGTGTTCTACAGATACCTGAAAGTTGCCGGAATACTCAGACATGTCTTATTTACACTGTGAGATACTTCTCAAATAATGAACACAGAACCACAAAATTCTCAAGAAATTCCGCAAACCAAAACTGTATCTGTCCGATATGGTGAAATTAATGTAAAAGGTTTCTGTGATTTAGACTTTAGTTTCACCCTCAAACATGCTTGAAAATTTTACAGATTTGATTTTGGTTTCAATTTAATGTTTTGCCAGTATTCACAGACATAAAAATCACCTACAAAAATAATATAGATAAAATAAGGCAAATAAACTTTCAAAACTATAATAGAACATAAACATTCGGCAAATATAAATGAAAACAAAAAAGAAAATAATTATTGAAACAAATATGGAAGTAGATTTTATTTTATGTCTTGCACCTCAAAATTCAGATATCATTTAAGTAAATAGAGCACGAGAAATTAGATAATTAAGATTATATTTGTAGCTTTGTAACACATCAATCGTATATGACAAAAGATAACAGACAAATAAACAGAAATATCATAAGTTAACTATAAGATATATATGCAACAAGAGATTTTGAAAATTTCCCAATTAAAAAGATAGATCTTTAAAACAAATATAAGATTCTGTACTTCATTAGACTTTGTTTAGCTGAGCCAATTAGTAGGTATACGGTAAGCTGAAAACTAAAAATAGAAAGCTAAAGAAAGTTGGTTGGAGCAGAAATTCTGAGATCCACCAAGACTTATATAAACAGACTTATAAAAATAAATGAACGCCTTGTTTTTTCTTGAATTTTGTGGTAGTGATATTTTATTTACCACTGTGAGCTTGGGCCTTAGAAACATGGAAGAGCCAAAACGCGATTCTCAATTTTTTTTGTTGGACGTAAACATGCAATAACCTCCCACAGACGAAATGTGTCATCCCTGATAGTGGAGGGTATATAAAGCCTGTCGGTTGGAACCTGAAAGTGCAGTGGTTGTCATAACGTATAAACGGGGCGATTTATTGAACGTTCAAAAGGGAATTTCGTTGGATGTCGGGCCTAGGGCGTAAGCGTTTTCGAAACGGCTGAGTTTGCAGAGCGTTAACGTGCCGCGTGGTTAAAGAATGAATTCATGACTGAATGGCGATATCCAAAACCGACACGGAGGTAACTGGGGGGCACCACGGGTCGTAGATGACAAACGAAGAACGACGGCTGCGGAGATGTGTACCGGCAGATAGACATGCAGCTGCAGAGCAGCTGACCTCCAAGATGAATGAAGGGGCTACTAACAGAGTCTTCTTCACAATCGTTCTCCTAACGTTGCTGCGTATGGGCCTCCAACACAGGCGCCCGGCTCACGCACCCATGCTGACTGCTGTTCCTGGGCAGCTGGACGAAAGCTGGAATTTGCATGCCAATCCCGCAACTGGACGCCCACTGAGGTGCGGCAAGTGGCCTTTGAAGGTGAATCATGTTTCCTGCACCATCGGGCAGATGGTCGTTGGGTTATTTTGCAAGAGACGTCTTAACGCAAACAGCCTGCGAGGACAGGCCGGAGGACCGTGCAATTCCCTGGACGACCTCGTCATTCTGGAAGGCGCAATGGATCCATAGAAGTATGCAGCCGTCATCGGGAACCATGCCCACCCCTACACGCACGCAGAGCGTTCTTCCTCAGCAAAACGGCATCTCCCAGCAGGGCAGCGTGTACACCCCTCCCCACCCCCCCCCCCGATTTCCGAGGACCCTAGCGCAGATGGCCAGGCCCTCGACTCAGCATGGCGCCCAACCAGAACCTCATTGGGTCTCTTCCTTCACGTCTCGCAGTGGTCAGTGCTGCAAAAAAGGGTTATTAGGAATTGTGACGGATTGTCCCAATAACGTAACTGTAATGTTAATGGGGATGTGTATGTTGTAATAATACGGGGAGAAACAATATTTTGTGTTTAGGTAGGTAAATTTCTGCATTATGCCAAAAAAGAAAGAGGATCAAGAAAAAGAATGATATTAATTGTAAAGGGCAAGTGTGAAGACTCGTTTGTTCTCTAAAATTGGAGGGAAGATTCTGTAAATTAAGCCTGCCTGTTGTATTCCTGTCAGTATTATCAATTAATATAAATCCGCTTTTTAATTTATCATTAAGATTTTGAATTACCAATAAAAATAACCAGCATATATTTAATTCATGAAATATTTTATTAATTACTTTATTTTTAATTCTTTTCTCTCTCTCTCTGTTAAATCAGTTACTGCGTTTGAATCAAAAGGACAGAAACTGAAATGTAATCCATCAGCCCAAGTTTTCCATCGTTGCCTATGGAGAATATTAGAACTGGTAAGACAGTAAATGTAAAGTAAAAATGTTTTAGAATTTAATCTTTGTATTGATCACCTAATATTGATAACAGAATTGATAAACAAATTACTGTATTTTTTATTAAGAAAGACATTTTTTTATCTAAAGTTTTTTCCACAGACTTGCCTAAAGGAACAACAAAAATCATGTAAGTTTTCTCTTATTTAACGACATGTTATAACATAATGTAATGCGAATGATTGTCTTAAGTAATATTTACTTCAGTGGTTCCAAATTGGTTTCGATAATCAATGTTAAACAGACCGTTTTATTCTAATTAATATTTTTCTTTTCTGCATTGGAAGGTATTGAAATACAGACTGAATTCATCTATAAAAGTAGCAACAATTAATACATGAAAATATAAAAAGAACAGTGTCGTCAAAAACATGTCGTCGTCAGCCAATGTAAATGGAACATTAATACTGTTTCAGTATACATTTTATAAGAAACATGTACCCTGAAACGTTGTGTGCTTCAATACCTCCAAATACGAAAAAGAAAGACAATATTGATGGAGTGAATAAAAACTTATCATAATCTATCAATAATTGTGTGATATCTTTTGGAACTTCTGTAGTAAAGCTTCTTGTAACTCATTAACTGTCGGTTTCTTTCTAAATCATTCTCATGTCACTATTTATAATTGTGGTTTGAAAGCCAAAAATATGGAGCTAAAAAATGGCATAAAACTTAACAGTATGTTCCTAACGAAAAGAGGATATACATTTATTTCAATTGTCATATATGTCATATAGTTCATGACACTTAGTGTATAACATAATTTACTTTCTAAAGTAAACAATATTTCATTTGACTACTGCCTCAAATCATCAGAAATCATAATGGAACACAATAAATTAATTTTGTTATATGTTTCAATGGATATGCAGACCAATTTTGCATTTCATATATTTTGAATGACGTTTTATATTACTGAACTCTATAACTCAATTACCTGTTTGAAATTAGAACTGATAATTACTTTATTTTACAGTAACTTTTCATGGTGAAAATTAATCTTTTACGTAACTATTTCTTTCATTTGATGGATTACTCACAATATGATGTAATATATTAACTAAGAACTTAAATATCTAAGAACATGCTTTGTGTTATGCTAATTTCAATAGAATGATTGTTTAAATAGTTGTGGTTGTATTTTCAATGTTCAAGACTTACAATTATATTGTTACAAGAAAAAAGGAAGATATTCCATCTGCTCCATCTTCTCTAAACAGAATAATAGAATATGCTGAATTTTTTTTGGTCAAGTTTTAAGTATCATTGTTTTTGTAAGTATTTGAATCACTTTAGCAATACAATATCAAGTTTTTGCTCAAAAAATTATTTTAATGTTCTTTTGAACTGCTACCTCACATGTCAGGATGAAAACCTGTCAGTTCAATATCAAAGATTGTTGAGATCGGTGCAGGTGATGACGATATACGAGAATATACAATTTGTACTAGAAAATTGGGATGTCTGTATGTATGTGATAGCAGACGTATTGTAGCGTAAGTTCGAACTGCAAGCAGCTCTGTCCGCCAACTTCCCCGCTTCGCTTAGCTGCTCTCCAGCAGCAGTCGAAGATCTTTCGCCGGGTTCGCTCCCGGTAGAGCGGAAAGAAATCTACCTCGCTGGGTGGAGCCTCGCTGGGTTCAATTGGCAGGATCAGGGTTAGGATCAGATGTGTTTTTGGTTATTGAATGATGAAATTAATTTTTTTAACAATGTGGTTCCAGATAGGCCCCACTTTATTTGTTACCAGGGAATTAATTGCTGCAACATAATACACATTTTGTTCTCAACATCTTGAATACCTACATGGCTGATACACACAAAAGCAAAGAAATTAGTTATTGAAACGGGTTAAGCATTACAGTATTCTTCTTCTTCTTCTCGCTTGAAGTAATGATACAGTTCTCATCACTAGTCTTTAGTTTTCAAATCAGCACTTTACGTCTTGTGAACCAGCTGTCGTCAGGACGAGACGAGGGGCGTCGCCCTGGCGGTGAAGGTCGGCCACTGGCGGCTGCTGTGTTCTGCTGGAGAATCGGGGGTTGGGGGAAGACCACTGTGAAAGATATTTGGCATATATCTTTTATAAAGAACTTTGTGGAAGTTCTTCGAACTTTAACGAAGGAAACAAAAATTGACAAGAATTTTGACGAACGTATTACATTTCGTCCAATATTTTATGTAGTTTTGCTCGCGATTGAAGATGGATGACCACAAATAGTTGTGTTTGAACTACTCTATGCTTAATAGTAACTAATCTATGTTTAATCACTGCCACCTAGGCAGCGTTGGTTTAATGCTGGAGAAGTAAAAGAAAGAGGAGAAAGGATGAAACCATGGGTCACACATTGTGAAGCATAAATTAAAGAATTTAGAAATTAATAATTATATGAAGATGGACGAGAAATATTCAGTTTTATTTATCGTTCTTTTTCCTTCTTTTAGAAATTGGGTCCTCTGATTTTAAAGTTAAAAAAATAATTTCGTGAACTGCATTTCCACTTCTCGTGTGCTTGTCATGCCCGTCATTTCGTTTGGTTTTATTTTTGTAGTTCGGATGAACAGTATTATATAAACATTCTAATTTCTCATACTCTGCAATTAAATCTTTGATTGAAGCAATACCGCACGTAAAGCTATCGAATGCCATGTTGCCAAATGTATGATGAATTGTGGACGTTTGAGGCTGACACCGGCCGAAGGCGCGGCTCTGCAGTGGCGAGGCCCTGGCGGCTTGCGGCCGGTGCGCCGTGATGGAAGCTCGTTTGATCGGTCTCCAGTGGGCGGGAACGCCACTCCTGCGATGATCTCAAACCTGTTAGGCCGATAGCACGTCGGTGATTGAATACTTCACTTGCGACTTTTGGCCCGGTGAGATCTGTTGTCTTTCGAACGTTGCAAAATTGAAGAAGCACCGTACGTGATAAAGTTATACGTTTGCAATCATGTCTGCTGTCTCATGGCAGTCTTGAAGTCAACTTTTACAAGGCAGTTGAATATTCGTAGTGAAGTGTGAAATTGCACGGCTGTCAGCGGAATGACGAAGCGTCGCGAGAGGCCGTCCGCAGATGCGCCCACGGCGGTGCGGCGCTGCAAAGGGCCGGCGAGCTTGCAACTATTGCGGCCGCAAGTCGGTGGGGAGGGTGGGGGGCGGGGGCTCTCTGTCAGTGTCTGGGAACCACAAAACGAGTATTTCCGTTGAGATCTCGAAATCAATTTTCCGCAGAATTCATAACTTCCCTAAACTATGTATATTACTCCGTATATAAGTACGTACACGAGAAACAAATATGAGATAAGTATAACGTTTTCAATGATAAATTTTTCTTACCAAAGAACATGAAATACACAAAATTCCTAATGGAATTACGGCAGTTAATGGGTTAAGAGAAAATGTTTTCTGTCTAATTATAATGATTATTTACCCATTATTTTTGTTTCCATTGTTTTATGCAGCTGTAACGTGCGATGTTCGTCGAACGGTGTTTGCGCAGGAGGAAGCGCAGAGGCGTAAACTAATTAATCAATGGTTTAATCTGGAACGACGATCAGCAACGGCAAAATGAAGTAAAGTGCATGAGAATTCTCAGAATCTGTTGTAAAGTGACGAAAATGATTAATTGTGGAATATATCATTATTTATCACACTAAATACTTTCCCTTTTAAAACTTCGATTCTATTATCTATTTGATATGCAATTTTTTCACTTGTCCTTCCAAAAGGTTTAACAATTTTACATCACTATTTATTTTCACTTCGTATAATGTCATAGAACATGAAAGTGAAGTTAAATCAATATACGTAAAAGTTTCTCAAATGTATGAATAGGAATAGGTGAATTAGTCATTCAATTAAGAACGTCCTAAGATTACAAATAAATAGGTTGCTCTGATCGACAAAAAATGTTCATAAAAGTGACTCACTTTAAAAAGTGATATAATAAAAATCAGAATAACAAGAAAAACTGCAGTTAGATAATGGATGAGACTAAACAAGAGTAGAATGCACTAAAAAATAGGCCGACTCTAAAAGGGAAGAAATTCAATGTTAATGGTATAGAATGAAGCCAATTCAATGCGGTCATCTCAAGGTTCCATTCTGGCATTAATCCCTTTCCTTCTTTTGGTAATGCTATGTATGTTCTCTTCAGTGAGAATAACACAACACTTTACAGTGACACTTCACAAAGTATTGTGCTACAAAAAGTTCATACTAGTGGTGGCTGGTGCCCCAACAGACTGGATGTTGTACCTCCATGAAATGACGTAAATTTAATTTCCAAAATTCAAAATACGTAAATATAATAAAAATGTAAGCAATTCAAATTAAATCAAACCAAGTTAAATAAAAGCCTATATTGAATCATTACTTACATAATTTCATGCGTCGTGACCGAGTCAGATATATTATACACTTCCCGCACACGTGGTTCTGGCTTTGATTTCTTTTGGACACTTAAGTTTAACTTCTCACAAATGAAATTATTTTACATCAAATACATCACCATCCTGATATTTTTTGTAACAAAGATCCTTCCATTCACACGCTCATATTCCACCAGCGCTCTCAGTGGTATAGCTGCAACCTGCTGTATCTTCCGAGAAAGAGACTTCCTTCCAGATCGGACAACTTTACACAAAGAATTCACCAAGTGTATCAAGTAATTTAAATCAGTAAATCCAATATCAAATGAATACAAATTCTCTAAACATCATAAATAGTGCATTAAATGCCTTCAGTAATTGACTGAACTTCAATAACAAGCAAAATTCATAAAATTACATGGCAATGAGTCAGACGAAGATAGAATATTGGTATTCCCCTGAGACTCCCTCCGTCACCGCGCAGCGCTTGACAGCGCCACCCATCTGGTTGCCAAACTAAAATTCCCCGTGTTTCCCGTGTTAATTCGAAGAGCCAAAGAGTAAATGCAGTAAACCCATTAATACAGCCAAGATTCAAAAGCGTGGTGCAATACCTGGCAAGGCATCAGGGAGAGCGGCAGTTGGACGCTCTTTGGGTTCAAAACGATTTCATATACATCGATATTGCTGCAATATGTTGAATATTGAATGTCATTGAAAGCAAAATGTATATTCCTAAGACATTAAGATATTTTTTCGATTGTATGTGGGAGTTATTCAACCGTGCAACCGGAGAACGAGCCGCCACTGGTACATACTGTCTCATATAATGCGATTTTTACCTTACAGAAATTCCTTTAAATTATATTTAAAGTTCAAATATTAAGAAACAGATTGCATAAAAAAGAAATCTCTAGCTTCAATATTGAATTTGAAGTGCATGTTCGAAAAAACTTAACATTGGTACCAAGTAACTCAAAATTTTGTAAAATCTACTCACATTTTTCAAAAATATTACAGGGAATAATTTTAAAACTGATATTTTGCAATAGATTGCATTTCATAAGAAATCACTCGCTCCAATGTGACAGTGTAAAAGAAATTTGAAAAAAATTGAAATATTCGAAGTTAAAAACATTAAAGTTGACAACACTTCTTAAAAATGAGATAAATAAGTACGTAAAATTATTGAGCAATTTTTACTCAGATTGAACAATAAACTTAATGATAAATTCGAAGCTGTTTTCTATAAAGTCTTTTACCTACTTTTACTTTCTCGCCAGCTACGTACTTCCGTTGTAAAGAACGCATTGTAAGTGGAAAGTGGCGATTTTTCGTCAGAAATTCTCCCTGATATCCTCTTGATTTCTCTTTTCTTAATATTTAACTACATTCAAAAGAAGAAATGTGTGAGGACGACTTCCCTTCCTTCCTTCCCTGCCCTGAGAAACCGCCATTACTCATAGCAGTAACGCGACCGAGTGCACAAGAGATTCGCAAGAGCAGCGGAGTGGATTTCGGCAGGACCAATTAGAGTCGAGCAGAACCGACAGGTTAGTAGAAAGATTCCTGGCTCGCAGGACCACTCTATCTGAACCAGCAGGTAAGTAGAGAAGGGTTGGCAGGACCTGTTTGGGTCTATTTGAATGAACAGTTGAGTGGAACAGGCAAGCCTCTATTGCATATAGGCCATTTGTGCTAAAGAGCTCTTCTGCGATGTGGGGCTAGGGCACTTCATGCTTACGCGGGCGCCATCTGCTTGAAATCATGCGACAAGTTTAGCAGAAAAAATATAAAGTGTAATCAGATTCAACATTTTCATTGCAGAGCTATTTTTTTAATGTTTTCTCTCATGTTGCCCGCGTGGCGCTAGTACCACTGATCACAATCTATTAGCAAAGGAATGCCATTCCCACCCTGCGCCCTACTTCTATTATAGTAAAATCTGTCTAGGCCAGAAGCGATCGGGACAATAAATATCCCGGTTAAGGGAGGTTTCCCTTTTATGCAGGGTTGTCTATTTTATGACACTTTTTATATTGAATTTTCCTACCTGAAACTAGTAAAGTACATGCCTTCAACGTAATTATAAAAATGTATTAAAGATAACGTATTTATGAAATAAGTCACCCATAAATTAATATTAAACATACTTCTGATAATTGAAAGGAAAATCTTCATAACTTGGGCACCAAAATAATATTATTTTTTCCAACATTCATCTGGATTTTTTTGCTTTTTGGTTTCCCGCTTACTAACATATTTTCTATTCTGTTTTCTTAAGTTGAAAAACAAATATTTTAGAGTTCTATGTTTTTTTAACCATTAATAAACTGGTTGTGAAACTCACAACCAATGGTATGCAGGATAAAAGTTCACGACCTCACTCTCTAGTGGCTTCAGCGGGACTGCCCACGGTCTCTTCAATGCACAAAGCACCACAGCCCAGATGACCAAGTCCTTCTGATTCCTTCGCATGGCCTTGACCAACGCGACTCTGGTTGAGGGGTTATGATTCTCACCCCGGGGCAGAGACGTGCCCTTACACATTCCCACATGACCGAAGGCATGCCCGTCGTTCTGGAGTTATGTAATAGTTATGCAATGCTTCGAAAAATCGATTTCGAGATTTTAACGGAAATACACGTGTTGGGGTCCTCTGGTAAAGAAAAAGTGTTGTTTTACTTTCAAAACGGCCGTTTGTCTGTTTGTCCGTCTGTTGTCTGTGAAAAACACTCGCGCCTAAACTATGCGTTCAATTTTTTCCAAAATGAATAACCCTCTGTCGATCTGGTCTCTCTCGAAGCTCTGCTATTTTGAAAAACATTCATTAATTTTTGGAGGTACGTTACAAGAAGCTCATGGAACATTTTCAAAATTTTCTCGAAAAAAGGACCAATTTTTTTCTCTAATTTTTTTTTGTACTGATCGTGCTTAATGTAATGTATTAGATGTCAAAAACGTCATTTTGGTCTATTCTTTTGTTTCTTGAAAAATTATAATGATTTGAAAACAAAAATGTAATAATTTAATATCCCTCCCACGTCGTTAATATATACATTAACGACAATATGTATATATTATTGAATTTTTTAAAACATGACATTAAATGATGTCTTACACAATTTCTAGAAACCTCAACATTTTTCTGTAAAAATGAGCTCAAATTGCCATGATTTCAGAAACACTTAAACGCCATTTTATCAAAAACGGCTTCAATTTTTTTGTATGGATCGTGTTAAATGCACTGTTTAGGATGACATAAAAGTAATTTTGCTGTATTCTTGTGTTGTAGTTTTTCAATAGTTACGTTAATGTTTTTTTAAAGTATCTCTTATGCCGTTAAAAACCCATTTCCAGCGATTTGTATACATAATTGCATTTGTGAATGAAAGTGCTTCAAATATCTTCCAATTAAGTTTTTCGAAAACTTAAAATTTTCCTATGAAAAAGAACTTTAAATTTAGAATTTGCACTAATGCTTCAATTATATTTTCTTAACATTTTTCAACGAAAATTTTGATGTAGGACGAGGTTTCCCCAATAATTTTCTTAAAGTAATAATTCGGTTTTACAATAGGAAACCGAAATATTGCGAAATGTTTTAAAAATATATTTAGATCGTAGTTGGTAATAGTATGGGGCAAAATCGAAAAGTTAGGACAGGACAAAGAAATTAGAAAACTACATAGTACAAGAAAATCTGTGCCATTCAGTAGCACCACTAGTTGTTTGTGTAATGATTTAACGCACATGATAGAAATATCAACGAAACATGGAACCTCTGAAATTCGCATAAAAATAGCTTGTAGGATTGGGCACTCCTAGAATAAAGTAGTGGTGTTGCAACACCACATACATTCTCGCTTTATTTCTAACTTTTCAATTCTCAAAGATTCGAAGAGTTCAACAAAAATGACACATGCGTCATTCTTTTAAGCGTTCGTTGTTCTATTCGTGGGAAACGTTCGGTGCGATTTAGAAAACTAATTTTTTATAAAATGCATAAATTTCAAGCACAAATTAAGCAAAAACTACGTTTTTTCAAAAAATTATTCATGATTTTTTTAATGAAGCTGATTGATTAGAACAGATTTTATGTAAGGCCAAAGTGTTTATTTCAATTTCGTAATTTGGAAGTGTTAAAATATTGTAATTTCCGAATATATAGAGTTCGCTGGAAATGAGACTAGTACCCTCCTTTGATAGATACGACGATAATTTAAAAAAAACATCGGTTCTGTTTTTGATCTAAGAATTGTTTTAACAAA